ATTTTAAATCTTATTGGGGTCCCTCTGGAAATTTGCAGAGGGCCCTGGTCAAGGACCGCTGCTCTAAATAGGTTATGTGCACACAACCACACACAAAAAACATTGATTGAAGAATCATCATTTATTTACCTTCAGGGCTTCTTCATATTCCACTGAAAAGAGAAAAATAGTTCCAGTCAGTGTCTGTGTATGTACCTCTTCTCTGTAATTTAAATATAATGTATAATTATACACAGATTAAGACCATTTACTTACATTGGCTGTTGATTGATACCTGAAATAAACAGTCACATACACAATTATGATAGAAATATTAACTAATCATATTATCAATTCATTAAGATGTTTTCTTTGACAAAAGTAAAGTTATTAACATTGACATGCATACAATATCCCAAATATGTACTTCTTCACTCTCACCTCTTCATTTTCCTCATCAAAATAAGTCAGTTGTAAATTACACAGGCCAAATGACCTCTTCACCTGAAAAGGGAAAGATATCAAGTCAACACAAGACCAGCTGTGTAATTGCAAATAAAGTATAGGTCGTGTTTGATTAGATTTATATGCTATAGGATTCTGACTGGCCAATCATGACCTTCTGCAGGCAAATATTTTTGAACAACGACCGTTACCCACGACAAGGCTATATAACCGAACTCTCATCCGGAAACCCTGGCTTTTTTTTACACAGCAAGCTAGTTTTCCTGTCTCTTCGCGATCTCCACACAAGTAGGGTAATTATTTTATTTCAACTCAAATCAGTATTTAATAATACTAATGTACTTAGTAACCTTGCAAGAAGGGGCAACGTACAGTCGTATTGAAAACCCCTTCAGGGTGATATGCCCCGAATGCCCTGTCTGTCGAGGCGAAGGGCTGACTGTCTACATCACTCGAAACTGACAGGGTTAACTTACACAGTGCTTTCAAATAGACAAGCAAATAAAATTAGCTTGAAACAGACAGCAGTCGATATCTGTTTCAAAACCTACTGAGCAACATAACTGGACAGCATTCTGGTTATCTACGCGGCTATCATGCTGTCTAGTGAGGGAGCTTAGTAGGTTTTGAGACAGTCAGTGAGTCAACAACATTACCCAAGAGATTAGTGATGGGATATACTGACGTGACATGTGTTACATTCCCTCACAGTGTGGCAAACCCCTTTGTAATTATGGTCTAATTGATGGAAGATCTGCGCACGTCAGATAAAATGTATTATATTACAAATAAATATGGCTGCTGTTGAATTCGTGGGCTTTCGGCAAAATGGTCGCTTGGCCCATTCTTCCAAATAATTAAGCGCTAATCGAAGCAGCAAACGGAGTAACGAATGTCACGACAGATGTCAACTAATCGCATGAGCCAGGCATCGGATGACGTCGGGGTGAAAGGCTTTGCGGCATCAAGGTGAGTGATCAGACTGACATCACATCATCATCCTCTGCTTACCATGGCCTCCATAGACTCCCAACTCTTCGTCTCTGAGCCAGACAGCAAGAAACTCTTCGCATTCCCTCGGAAATTCACCTTCAGATTGATATAGAAGTCCATGGCGCAAGTACTATTTAAGGCGTTGCATAGGTGAAATCAGAAAAGCTTTGATGAGTGACTGTGCCCTGGCTTCTAGATTTCTCTGATCAAAATGGTCCTTTCTGTTTACATCAGCGACGTAAACACGCCCACTGCATCAGCTGACAGGAAAATCAAAGCTGACGTCATTCAAAGCAAAACAATAGGCTTGTTTGAGATGCGCCTTGCCTCGCCTGAAATGTAGTCGAGAGTAGGCGGCTGCAGTGAGAGGAGGAGTGAAAAAAGCGCAGGCTAGCCGGACAGATCGCTCTTTTCGCAGTGGATCTGACACCTGTGAGATCAAAGGCGGATATCGCGGGATTCACGGGATTCACACTCGTGCACTGTGTTGCTAATAAACTGGATGTAATTTAAAGGGTTAGTTCGCCCATTTAAGACATGAAGTTGTATGCAATCCTTACCAGCACTATAGTGCATACACACTGACCCACTCTGTTGTCACCTCCCTGGTCAGAGTTCTGGCCGCTGGAAGTTTTTCAATAAGGTACTCCCGGTTATTTTCCGGGGCCACAAAACTGTGCGTTTTTACGTGAAAAAATGATTTGCGTTTCAAAGCTTGATTAATTTACCACACAAAAAACACGCCGGTCAAAATTCATACCTCAGTTTGAATCTGCACTATTTTCTATCCATTTCTATCAATCCGCGCTGCTGCTGTCAACGTCAACAGTGCGCACGTTCCGATCTGCTGTAGTGTTTACACAATCGATTGACAACGACGTAAAAAGTATTAAATTAACAATTTAAAGTGCGAACTTGTAAATTCCCAGGCTGTGAACACAAGGATGTGTCGGGATCAAAGTTCAGATTCCACCGTTTTCCTGTTTCGAATATAACTAGAGACAGCTTACCGAGCATAATCTCCATCTGCTGTTAGTCGATCTCACCAGCAGGGGGTGCAAGCGCTTGTTGTTGGCTGGTTGCCATCGGCTACTCTGCGGGAGCTAAAATATCCAGAATAAAGGATTTTCGTGTGCGTAGTGCTCACTTCAGCGAAGACGATTACATCCCCAACCGGGAGGAAAAGGAAAATTAAAGAGTTTTGCTGTACCAGTAACACGGTAAGCTCTATTTACTAACTTTATTATCCCATGTCTAAACTGTACGGTAAACAAGCTGATGTTTAGACTCCATTATAAAACACGTGAAAAGATGTCTAATATAAAAACAGTATATAGGGATATTGGTACAATTTGCTGAGAAAACTATTTGATTGAACACACACACAATTGAGGTTTTGTGTTGCAATCAATAACATTGTCGTTGTGGTAAAATTACTTTAATCATCTGATCCGTCTGACATTGTGCTAAAATTGGTTTCATCATCAGAAGTTTCCAAGTTTCGCAGTCAGACATGTTGTCAGCGAGTCGCACTATCAACAGCTGATCGGAACGTGCGCACTGTTGACGTTGACAGCCGCGCGGATTGATAGAAATGGATAGAAAATAGTGCAGATTAAAACTGAGGTATGAATTTTGACCGGCGTGTTTTTTGTGTGGTAAATTAATCAAGCTTTGAAACGCAAATCATTTTTTCACGTAAAAACGCACAGTTTTGTGGCCCCGGAAAATAACCGGGAGTACTTTATTGAAAAACTTCCAGCGGCCAGAACTCTGACCAGGGAGGTGACAACAGAGTGGGTCAGTGTGTATGCACTATAGTGCTGGTAAGGATTGCATACAACTTCATGTCTTAAATGGGCGAACTAACCCTTTAAGTTTTGTTCAAGGGCGTAGGTTTAGGGGGGGACGCTAGGTACTAGTCCCAATCAATATTTTGAGATGACAAATTTGTCCCCACCAATATTTAGCAAGCTCCTTTGAACTGCTATTTTGATATTTGCGCTGCATTTGGATCTTTGCGCTGCTATTTGGATCGATTCAAACGGCCAGGACGACGACAGTACAAGATACGCCGTAATTTGATTGGCGGCGGGGTATCTGACAGGCAGGCTACACGCGCGGGCCGGGACTACTTTTTGTGCTTGCACTCACTGGCAGCGAGCGAGCGGGTGGTGTGTGTGTGTGCGCGCGTGACGACGCCGACGGTAAGCTTCTGCAATCTTTCAAGGTTAGGAGCTTTAATTAGGGGTGTGCAGCACGGATAGACTCATAGAAGTCGCGCTATCATGATAGAATGCTACGTTAGCAAGTCACTGAATGTTAATTAGCCTATCTTAACTTAGAATCTTGCCGTCATAAACAGTGGATCATCTGAGACATTTTTCGTTTCTACATTCTGTTTATGTAATGTATTTGTGAGTGTAGCTTACTTGCTTAGACACATGTGCTGGAAAAACATGTTGGCAATGTTAAAAAGGCAAAAGTTAACACTGTTGGTTATTCAAATATAATAAATCATTATTTGATTGATAATATCCAAAATAACAATATTATCTGGTAGGAGGGTTAAACTTGCTAGCCATATAGACTACAAAATTAATTAACCATTTTGTATGCAGGAAAGACAGCATCAAACCACAACAGATTTACATTTATTCATTTAGCAGACACTTTTTATCCAACGACTTACAATTGAGAACAATAGAAATGACAAAGGAAATCACCATTAAAGCACTGTTACTTATCTTACAACAAAATAATTCCCGGCTGGGGGGGGATTGGGGGCGGGGGTTGTCCCCACCAAAGCTGAGACCAAACCTACGCCCATGGTTTTGTTGCTTGAATATGAAAATAAATATAATGAACAAGACACCCAAAGTACTTATTTAATTCCATTTAAAATAGGCCTACATGTTTATGAATACTTTTACCTTTAATACAGATATGTGTTTTTATTTTTAATTTAATTTTTTTTTTTACATCACATAGATCCCACTGTCAGAGAGTTTGGGGATATCCACACATAATTTATAGACATAAAACATGATATCAGAGTTTCAAAAATCAAACATTTTAAAAGAGAACAATACATCACAGTTGTTTAAACCAATGAGCATTAAGCTGTGCCGTCAGCAAGTCGTTTCCCATCATGCTTTTGATCAGCGCAGTCGGTGGAGAGCAACTGCGCCCGACTGCAGAATCCGACAGGTGCGCCTTGCGGTCGCGAGAGTTTTTTGACACACGTCAGCATGACATCAGAGCAAGGCCGGCGGACCGCACTCGGACACATTTCTAACCGGCATGCATCTCGCGCTGATCACCGGTGATCGGTTCTGCGCAGATTTTGCTCATCTCAAACAAGCCTAATGTAATGGGCAGGACGTTTAATGTGCAGTTCAAAGGGTATATAATATATATATATATATATATATATATATATATATATATATATATATATATATATATATATATATTAATGTCTTCGCATATTGTTATTGTAAGTAATTTGATCCGTAAATAATAAGACATAGGGAAATTGGCTAGTGTGTGGCAGAGCCGTTGAAAAACAAAGTTGCGACACTCCCATAGACCGCCATAGGAACTTTGGAATGCGGAAGTAACGCGTGTCGTGGAGCGGCCAATAGTTCCAAACACTGATAGTTCCAGCATTGAACCCCATTCATTTTCAGTGCTTCTGAAGTACGCTCGCTGGTAAGTTCATGAAATTACTGTATTTTTTATATTTGGACGCATTAGCCGTGCTCTCATGAGTCTAGTCAGTAGTTGTAATTTATGTAGCCAACTTTAGTTAATGTTTATTGGAAGATAATAGATAATTGCAGCTAGCTTACGTGACCAACACTTCACTAACGTTAGGTACCAGTCAGAGAGGTCTGTTAAATGTGATGTTAACCCTATTTACATACACGGGGTGGTCAGAATATTAGAAATACTTCTGGATATAAAGCAAATAAGTACAGCAGCACTCCCACAAATAATACCTCAATGCTAAAACGTGAAAATGAATTTCCACCTCGATGACAGTATAAAAAAATCCTGAACATCATAGAAAAGCAGAATGTATGGCTGAGCTTTATATGGTATCATAATGCAATAAAAATATAAAATTATCTTTTCCCTAATTTGCATAATTTGTCAGATGAGCAAAATAATCATCCATCTTCTTCCATAATGGTGTTGTGTAAGAATAGCAATTTGAATAACAATAGTGGTTTGTATATAGATATAGATATTTTTGTCAAAATAACAGAAATCATGACAAATTTCCAAGTAGGTATTGACCTAACAGTAGGTGTGTACTCTCAACCTCATGAAAATGTTTAGGAAACATAGGCTTTAAATGTGTATTTAATCTGTCCTTCAATGTATTAACTTTAACACCGTTTCCTTTCTTTACCACTACCAGTTCTCTCCAACAGCAACAGGCTTTTCTTCAAGACCCGGTCTCCTCTGGGGCCTTTGACACACTCAGACAGAAGATTCAAGGAAAACTTACCTACCCTCTCCTTAGATATAATATATAATTAAATGTTTTGTTGAATGCAATTGGTTGCCTTGTATATTTTTTACTGTTGACCAAACTTCTTTCTCGACTTAAACTGAGCAGCTTTAATTGATATTTGCTTGTTGTGCAGGTTTATGTGAATGTATTTTAACATAACATAAGGATGTTATTAATTATGACCATAGAAGCATGAGAAAAATATATACAGTAAATACTGGAAATGTATTATACCTTATGGGAGCAGTCCCCCTTCCCTCCAAAATTCAAAACACAAAAAAATAAATTTAATTCAAATGGCTTTATTGACATAAAAGTTTCAAGAACAATGTGTATATACACTACCAGTCAAAAGTTTTGGATCGGTAAGATTTTTAATGTTTTTAAAAGAAGTCTCTTCTGCTCACCAAAGTTGCATTTATTTGATTAAAAATACAAGAAAAAAACAGTAATATTGTGAAATATTATTGCAATTTAAAACAACTGTTTCTATGTGAGTATGTATATACATGTGTGTGTATATATATATATATATATATATATATATATATAATTTTTTTATTATTATTAGTTAAGTGCAATTTATTCATGTGATCAAAGCTGAATTTTCAGCATCATTACTCCAGTCTTCAGTGTCACATGATCATTCAGTGAAATCAGTATAATATGATGATCTGATGCTCAAGAAACATTTCTCATTATTATCCATGTTGAAAAAAGTTATTTACATTTTTATTTCAGGATTATATAATGCATAGAAAGTTCAAAAGAACAGCATTTATCTGAAATAGAAAGCTTTTGTAACATTAAACACTACCGTTCAAAATTTTGGGGTGAGTAGGAATTTCTATTTTATTTTTTGGGGGGAAATAAATAAAATAAATCAATACTTTTATTCAGGATGAATAAGGGATGAATTAAATTGATCAAAAGTTAAAGTAAAGACATTTATAATGTTACAAAAGATCCTATTTCCAAATAAACACTTCTTTTGAACTTTCTATTCATCAAAAAATCCTGAAATAAATTGTACGCAACTGTTTTCAGCATTGATAATAATAATGAATGTTTTTGAGCATCAAATCCACATATTAGAATGATTTCTGAATGATCATGTGACACTGAAGACTGGAGTTATGATGATGAAAATTCAGCTTTGATCACAAGAATAAATTAGATTTTAAAATATATTAAAATAGAAAATAGTTTTATTTTAATTTTAAATTGTCTTTCTTTTTTAATGTGTATTTTTAATCAAATAAATGCAGCTTTGGTAAGCAGAAGAGATGACTTATTTTAAAAACATAAAAAATCTTAGCCTACTGATTCAAAACATTGGTTGGTAGTGGATGCATACACACACACAATATATATATATATATATGTGTGTGTGTGTGTATGTAGCTATACATATACATGTGCGTGTAACTGGAGAGATGGTTACTGAGTTAAATAACTATAAATACGATCAAACATTAACGTTATAGGATTAATTTTAGTATGGCTAATGTACCCCTACGCAACATGACATCATGACATCATGACAATAACGTTAATGTTATGAATTATTCCAGTCAGTATCAGTAACCATATCTCCAGTTTCATTTCAACTGACCACACTGTTAACGTTAATGCCGTCTCTCCATCATATTTACATAAATTTGCTGCAAATGGTCGTTGCTGTGCTGTAAATGTATTCTACCCCTTACGAAAATTAACCATGGTTTTTATGTAGTAACCATGGTTTTTTTGTAGTAACCATGGTTTAACTATGGTTTTTGTAGTAAAACCATAGTAACTACAAAATGAACCATAGTTTAACTATGGTTTTTGCAGTAAAACCATAGTAACTACAAACGAACCATGGTTTTACTACAATAACCTTGGTTTAACCATGGTTTTTGTAGTAAAACCATAGTAACCATAAAATGAACCATGGTTTTTGTAGTAAAACCATAGTAACCATAAAATGAACCATGGTTTTTGTAGTAAAACCATAGTAACTACAAAAATAACCATGGTTTTTACTACAGTAACCATGATTAATATAGTTTTGTAGTAAAACCAGAGTAAATGCAAAAATGAACCATGGTTTTACCACAGCATTTGCAGCAGAACCAACTACAAAATGAAGAATGGTTTTACTACAGTATATATTTATTACAGATTTAGCTATTTATTACTCTTAATAGAATAATCTCAATGTCATAAATAATCTTATTATAATAGTTATATATATATATATATATATAAATTGTGGTCCAGTGTCACAATATATACTGATATTATATATATATATATATATATATATATATATATATATATATATATATATATATATATATATATATATATACATTATTAATATATATATATATATATATAATATATATATTAATAATGTCGTATGCATACCAATGCTTCATTTATATATATATATAAATAAAATTGAATAAATAAAATAATATATATATATAAATAAATTGAGGTCCAGTGTCACAACAATATATACTTATATATATATACATAAATATAAGTTTATATTGTGACACTGGACCTCAATTTGTCTACTAATGAGTTTATCTGGTCATCTATCAATTATTTTTCATACACCCAAAATGTCATAACTATTGATCATTAAATATAATTTTTTAGCCTACTGAATTCTCAGCACTTGACATGTTTGTCCCGTTATAAGTGTTACAACACTTATAACACACACAAAAAAAAAAACAAAAAAAAAAAAAAAAAAACTGCAACAGAAAAATGGATCTATCCGGAGCTATGGTTGCTTGTATAAGGAATGGGAGAAAACATAGGTAGGCCTATAATAAAAATAAAAGCAAAAGCAAAGTGATGGTATAAAAAATATAGAAGTGATTGGGTCATACTCATAGAACTACACAATGAGTTTTAAAATCATGATAAATGTTATAATTCTAGATGTTTATTTAAATGCTGCGTGCCTTTGAAGTGTTCTGGTTTTAATGCGCGTGCGCGTAAACATTCGAGTCGCATTCAAAGACAGGAGCGTGCGCGCGATCAGATGGAAACGAGGAAACGTCATCAACTGACACACAGCAAAAGTAACGTCTCTCGCTGTTGTTTTCGCTGCTTTCAGGTAAGTTTAGTTAACAAAATCACACTAATAATAGATACAAACGTTCCTGACACCCTTCTTACGTGTAATTAATACGCTCTGTTGAATATTTACTTTATAGAAATGGGTTTGTGTCTTCGAAAAAGTCCGTTAGCATCTCAACTGTTTTCAGAAGAGGTAAGTTAACGTTACACTGGAGCTCTTGTTTTAACGTTAGCTGCTACATAAGTTTGGGGTTTTAACCACATCTTTGTGTTGATAACAGTTTTTGATAGTTTTGTTTTGCTGGTAATTTGTCAATGGGTGATTAGAAGTAAGCTATTTAACTTAAAATAGTTCACTGTAACGGTTACTGACTGTTAATCAGTGACGTCACTTACAAATACTGATAATTAAAAAAAGGGATTTCAGGCGGGACAGAAAAAAACCTCCACAACAAATGGGAAATTACTGTTTAATCATGATAATACTTCCAGATGATTTATTTCACAATATATATTACCTTAAGATGTATATATATATATTATTTCTCTTTTCTGCATTTCATCTCTGCTCTAGCTTGCTTCCTTGTAATAAACCCTATGTTCTATTGTAAATCCTATGTAACATTGTTGGCTCTGTGACACATTGCATGTTATGTTCTAGAAGATCATCATCATGCTGATGGCCTGCTGCACCCCGTCCAAGAAAATCTCCACGGCTATGAACTCGACTAGTAAGCAAAACTTTAAACATACAGTGCACTACTGTTCAAAAGTTGGGGGTCTGTAGGATTTATGCTTTTGAATGAAGTCTCACACTTTACTTTTTTTTTTTTTAGTGAGACTGTCCTTGAGAAGCCTGTAGGCTAAATAATCAGCCAAATAATCCGCGGCAAATGTTATAATGGTCATAGTTATAATAATTAATTTAACTATTATGATAACAGGATATCATGGTCATTGGTATATTTTATTTGATTTCTCTAGGCGTGTTTTTAATTATGTTGGCCAATGAGACAGACAACATACTGTCCAACTCAAAGGTATTTATTTATTTTTATGTATTTTTTACTGATAAATACTGAAATTCTTTAATTCAGGGGATCTTAAATTCAGGGGATCTTAAAGTTATGGCTATGCTCTTGTTACCAGATGAGATATAATCGTTTGGCCCTGTGATTCTTCAGGACAAGATCTTGATGCCATCCACACTCAGTAGATGACGAAGGTGAGTTTCACAATAGCTGCCACTATCACAAACCAAGAGACAGAACACAACAGGCCTTCATCCATATCAGGGCTCGAAATTAACTTTTTTACCTGGTAGCACTGGTGCTCCCAACTTCAAAAAGTTAGGAGCACCAGCAAAAATTTAGGAGCACCCACCAAATTTGACGTTTAGCTCTGCCAGTAGAGCGGAACGACCGGCAGCATTCTGATGATTAAAAGCCTTAATAATCGAACATGATTTGTTTTCCACACACTTGTCCCTGCATTTATTTGTGCTTGGCACTCTCTCCTTGTTTAACCAAGCTCTTGCGCTTAAAATGTATTGGTTTTCGGTGGTGGCCGATGGACACTGTCATCCTTTCTTGCCCTGTTTTTTTATTTTTTTATTAAAGCTGTGATTTTACCACTGTATTTCATAGCTTTGTAAGATAAAATCCTTCTTTGCTAAACCTAATCATCATTTTGGTATATCATCATATCAATATCAAAAACTACAACAATAAAGTAGCATTAAAAAGTTTATTTTAACTAATTTTCTACCATATACAATTGAATACAATTAGCAGCTAGCTAACAACAACTTGATTTGCACTTTTTGTTTCTGGCTTCACCTCACTCCAGTCTAAACTAAAAGTTTTGGGTTTTTTTGGTAAGTTTTCTTCACATTGTCATATAAATAACCTGAAAATACTGTAGTTTATTAAGGTTAAATCTTCCTAACCACTCTTCCTAATATAATAAATGGGGTAAGCACACTTACATTCTCATTTTAAGAGGTGTTCTGAGTAAATGTGGTTTGATTGGTTAACATAGTTAATGCATTAGGCTAACTAACATGAACCATGAGCAATAGGCCTACATTTGTTACTGTATTTATGAATCTTAGTTAATAAAAAATACAGCTGTTCAGTGTTTCCCCTACCATTGTTTTGGGGGGGCGGCCCGCTCCCCCAAAACAACCCCCCGCCCCCCCTAAAATACTGACGAAATCCAGTCATAAAAAAGGAATTGTGTATAACGCGAAATTTCACGGAATTTGTAATTTTAAGAAAAAATAGAAAGCAGTTCAGTACACTTGAAATCAAATCGCGATGTAGACTAGTGTGTGTGAATATTAAAACACAAAGACTATTTAAATAAGAATCCTGCATGTTCTGTGTGAATGAATGGTGCCGCCGAAGCGCAGTTTCATTTACCACACACACACACACACACACACTGAAGCACGTGTGACGCTTGCGCTGTTTTTTGGCCTATATGAAGACACAAATGCATGAACTTCCTCTCCAGGCTCTAGATCCACTCTGAAAGTCACTTCGTGTCCGTGATCATTTCACCGCTTCATTTGAGAAAAACTGTCATCATGACATAAACACACAGAAACTCAAAAGGTCTTCACGGCAACCCGTCAAAATAAAAGTTCGGTTTAACTTGACAGAAATATATTACTGTTGTACATTAGAATTTAGATATGTCCCAATGTAATAATACACTAACACTAATCCAAATAGATTATCATCAAAACTGAAATTCTTAAGGAATAATCCATGTTTTAATTTTAACAGTAGGCTAAAGCTCATTGTGCAGCAAGTTATTTGACAAAAAGTTTAATTTCATATGATTAAAATTGATGATAAATGATAAAATTTGTGTTTTATGTCTTCATTTTATTACCAGAAAAAACACAACACAGAATTAGTGTGAATTTTTTTCCATATATATATAAAAAAAATGTTGTATAAGTTTAATGATTCATAATACATGATTTCAATTAATAAAAATAAAAAAATTACACCACGTATCCGTAACACGCCCGCTACGCAACACTAGCAGTGTTAATGATTAAATTAGCATTAACAAAGATTAATAAATGCTGTAGAAATGCAGTTTATTAATAGTTAATGTTAACTAATGTAGTTAACTAGAGTTTAATAAATTGAACTTTATTGTAAAGTGTTACCGATTTGTTATACACCGATGCAGACGTCTCGTGAGTTCAGTGTTGGACAGATCAGTTGTTTTAACCATTCATTAAATGGAATCAGTTCAAAGGAGTCATTTGTTCGCGAATCGCACGTGTCATTGAGGACGTGTAGGCTACGGTACGCATTGTTGTGTGATTATCCCAGCAGTTTAGGACATCGCACAAGATTTGTGTCAACACAGAAAACATTTCATCACTGGATAGTTTGTTTTGTTTATTGAAATTGAGGTTTATGTCAGCTGAATGTGCGGAACGCTTTTTTTTCCACGGATCCACAACAGAACCGGAATACACACACACCAGACACACACCAGACACACGTCAGCAGCGTCTTACGTCAGCAGCGCCACTGAACGCGGATCCACAACAGAACCGGAACACAATACAATGCTGAATAAAGTCTGAGTTTTTGTTATTTTTGGACCAAAATGTATTTTCGATGCTTCAACACACTCTAACTAACCCACTGATGTCACATGGACTACTTTGATGATGTCTTTATTTCCTTTCTGGACAAAGACAGTACACCGTACATACATTTACAATGGAGGGACAGAAAGCTCTCGGACTAAATCTAAAATATCTTAAACTGTGTTGTGTTCTGAAGATTACGAGCCAATGAACCACTTTTAGTGCTGTTTAGCACCATTTTTTTTTAGTATGTACCGTAAAACTTCAAATAATAGCCCGGGCTTTTATTTTCCCAAATCGCCGAACTGCACCGGCTTGTATTTGAGACAGGCGTCTATATGAGACCGGCCTTTATAATTTAGTGTTGAGATGTTGTTTATTGAGTGTAAGCCTAGAGTCTCTAATCTCTAAAAATCTCCAAATGCTCCACGTGAAACTGCTGTCTTCCCGACCTTTTACTATCGTGTCAATTGATTTTGATTAATATGCGCGAGGGAGAGAGAGCAAGACAGCGCTCGTGTCGTTTGAAGACGTGAGAGTGCGCGCGCGCGGCCGGAGCGCGCTCTCTGCTCGTTATGCGCCCTGTCAAGCGCTACATCACTCACCGATCAAAAAAGGCTTTGGCTTGGCAGGACACAAATTTGCTTTTTCGGCCGCCAAAAAGCGGACGATCTGATGGGTTTTAGAAGGTTAAATACAACCCGAAACTAAAAAAACAGACCCGGCCTCTATTTGAGACCGGCCTTTATTTACCCAAACCTGCAGCCACACCAGGCGTGTAAAAGAGACAGGCGTCTATTTGGGACTCGGCTATTATTTGAAGTTTTACGGTATAAGTAAAGGAGAATACACTCAGCTGATCATATAATGTACATTATTTCTGCTTGGCTTTTGGAGCCCTAATACTGTATGAGTTATTTATGAAAACACTGGCTGAATGGACATTATTACACTTGGACATTATTACATGGCTACTCGATAGTGCAACTGACCAATAGCAGTTGAGTATTCCAGCTTGTGTGTTAATGTGGTGTGTATTCTTCTCATTTTAGCTCCTGCGTCCATTTGGGCTGAAGGTCGAGACAGAACCAAACCAAAGCTGGACTGTAACCTACTGGCCATATGACAGACTTCATAATGACACCTACTGGCATGGATGCGGCATCACATGTTTTTCAACAAAACCTTTTTCACCTAGAATTTAAAGTGTGCATTATTCATCCCCCATGAGGAGACTCCATGTCTTCATCTCTTGTGAGTGGATATCATTTAAAACATTCTTAAAAGAACGGCTCATTTCTTCTGAATTTATAGTATTTATTGTTCTTGTCAAGTAATATTGCTGTAATCCTGTTAATGTATGTACAGTATAAATTGCAAACATGCTTGTGTTGGACACGTGTTCACGGGTTACAGACATTTTAGAGGAGGTAGATGCTGTGTATTTAAAGGTGCTCTAAGTCATGTTTATTTGTACAATATGTCATTTTTGTATATACATCATTATTACACTGGAACAAATTACTATTTTTTTATTTGTAAATTAGCAACTTAATTTAACCATTGCACAGCACCACTTTATCACCAATATTTTTTTTTACAACTTTTTAGTTTATTGTTTTGTTACATGTGAGAACAAATGCAAGTTTATATTTTCTTTCAGATGTAATTTCTGTAATAAAGTCTGTATCATATGGTAACTTCTTTCTGTTGTTATTTTGTAGATGTTTTTTGTAACTAAATGGCTTAAATGTAATTCAAGATAATTTAGTAAAACATTGGCTACACTGTGGCAATACAACCAATTTATTGTACATGATCCATGGTTTTTAAAAAACTCCAAAAACCATGGTCCAAAAACCATGGTTACTACAGTCATGGTTACTATGGTTTTACTGTAGTATTACTACAACATAACTGTAGTAAAACCATGGTATCAAAACCATGGTTTTTAAAAATACCAGTTACTACAGTCATGGTTACTATGGTTTTACTGTAGTATTACTACAATATAACTGTAGTAAAACCATGGTTTTAAAAAAAAAAACATGGTTACTACAGTCATGGTTACTATGGTTTTACTGTAGTATTACTACAATATAACTGTAGTAAAACCATGGTATCAAAACCATGGTTTTTAAAAACCATGGTTCGCACCAAAATACCACGGTTACTACAGTCATAGTTAACTACAGTTTTACTATAGTAAAACCATGGTTAATTTTCGTAAGGGACGTTATGGGAGCACCCCATTTCCCTCCAACAATAAACACAAAAACGTATTAATGCCGTTTCTGCTACTCCCCAGAAAAAAATGTATGCCATTGTATGCAAGCCATTTAAGTGTCAACGTAAAAATCAATGTACATTATGCATCAATATTTACCGATAATTGCTGCAAATACAGCTGCTGCTGTCTGCCCCGCTTTAAAATCATTGGCAACGCGGATTTGTTTGGAACTATTGAGAGCTACATAAACCACGTGACCGCGTGGCGGCGAGATCAAAGTGTGTCGCAACTCTCATATTTAACGGCTCTGGTGTGTGGTACGATTATAAATAGCATATTCTGTTTGATAATAGTCTATAAGGTCGGAACGGAGTTATTTATTTTAAAACGGATAGTTCGGTTCTGGCTTCTGATTGGCCAATACGTGATACCAAAGTCCTTTTAGGCATATATAAACATAGACATAATAAATACATAGACGCCCTATTGGCCGCTTTGGAACGTTGCTGCGATACGTCAACGGGTCCGCCATTTTGCGGAGGGCAAGACTGCACTGTGAACAAATGTAAGTAAACGGGGGAGCTGCGTTTTTTTCTTGATAAAAACAAACTGTTTTTACATTTTTCAACCGATTTCAGTGGTTTGTATGTGGTGTACAAAAAGTTCCATCTCTAGTTATTTAAAATCTCGATAGTTAGACTTGTAAAATATTTTTTTTAATAAAGAATGGTCAATTAAGCTCAGGCTTGTCATGTATCTGGCTTTTTATTCTTGGATAAGAATGGTGAAGACCCCCATACTGAGATATAATTTAAGTTTTCTTATTGTGGAAAAAGCATTTTCTGTGATTGACCAGATTTTAGCAATAACAAAGATAACTGATGGATCCTTTATAATAATACGTTATGGTACAACTATAGTGCAATGCAAATAGTAAATATAACATAAAGTGAGAAGTAATAGTAAATAGTTTAGTCAATAAAATAAACAAATAGTATACAGCAAATAAAATAGTAATGATTAGTATAATTATATAATATCATAAGTAATAATACAATCATAAAAATATTGATAATAGCATAGTTTATTAATAATATTAATAATAATAGCAATAGAATAAGAAATATCAATTACAGAATATACACAATAAAAATAAGTTAAATAGTGACTTTAATATTTAACTCTTTTTGTTAAATTTCAGTTTTATTGATCAGTATAACAGAAGTAGCTTCAGTCAAACATACAGCAGGATACAACGTTAAAATAGCCTAAATATAAAGTTATGAAACTTCACTTTGCCCTCAGCCAAAACGATTTACCAGGGAACCATTTATAGATTAATGAGACCAAAGATCGCCCGTTAGATATACACAAGACGAATTATATCTCATGTTTAACCACTAGACTACAGACATCCGAGTCAGCGGCAAAACTTCAACGAGGTACGGCTGTTCCAGGCGGGGTAGACGAGCGCTGAGCGCATCTTACAACTCCGAAAACGTCAGATCAAATTTTTAAATAGGCGCTATCTTTATAAACAAACCACATATTTGAGCTTTAAACAACTACATTGTCGACTGAAAAACTATTTAAACTACATTTCGTGACACAATAACAGTAGTATTTTAAAATGTATCCTCTGAACGTTACTATTACTAATTAAATCATGACCAAATACAACCAAAAACAAACGTTCAGTCTTGCTTGTGAAAGGTAATTCCTCGAAAGCTGTTCTCTTACGAGAGGTTCTCTCGTATTGCGTAAGCTAGCTTACGCTGCGGGAAAGATTCATCTTTGCTGAGATATTGAAGCCAAAAAATTATTTCATAATTTGTATCCATTGACAACGCAGTTCCTCTGCGGCAGACCTAGAGCAGGCTAGCTAGCAGCTCATTGGTTCGCTCAGAGAGAACTGCTTAAGCCTATGGGAGAGCGGGGCTGAACCCGCTTCCAATGAGAGGCGCCCGCGCGCTCATTGCGTCATGGCCCGCCAGAATGGGCGTGGCTATGGTGTATATAACAGTCTCTCCCAGGCTTATATGTTGATTCATTTCATCTTCAGCAAGCTGCAGTTTTCTGCTGTCCTGAGAAAAGCCGTCGCCGTCGCCGTCGAGAAGGCATCACTCTAGCGAGCTCCCGGACCCTGAAGAAGCCGGCCGTCTTCACCACCTTCAGCCGCCCTGCAAGCTAGCGCCATCCGACGACTGTATCCTTCTCTTTTCTCTATATATATCTAAAAGAGCCGAGCGTCTTTTTAAAGATGTCTCGTTTTTCCTGCGGCTCTTGCCGCGCTCCTCTCGAGGATGGAGACCGCCATGTCATCTGCGCTCTCTGCCTGGGACTCGAGCACGCAGAACTCGCCCTCGCGGATGGAGGATGCGACTTCTGTGAGAGCCTGCCGTTGTCGTCCCTGCGGGCACGACTTCTGGCAGCAAAATCCGCTCCCGCGCCGCCTCCCTCTTCGCCGCGTAAGAAGAAACGCCGCTCCCAGAGGCCGCCGGAGCCCCCTGCGGAACCATGCAGGCCGCCGCCGCCGCTTCCCGCTCTCCCTCCCCGCCCCTGCCGGACATACAGTTGCCGCCGAGTGGCCGCTCTGTCGCTTCCGATGACGCTGCGGAGGAGAAGGATTCCTGTTCACTGCTCGCATCAGACAGTGAAGAATGGTCATCTCTCGGATCCACGAGAGAGTCGGCGGGGATCCGCGCCGGGATAGAGGAGGAACTAATGCGCCTCCTCTCACAGGCCGTCGAACGCCTCGGTCTGGAGTGGTCTCCTCCACCCGAGCAGGCCCCGAACCGGATGGACGGCAGCTTTTTTCATCGGCGCTCGACCCCCGCGTGCAACCGGGCCGCCCCATTCCTGCCTGAACTTCACACAGAGCTGACGAAGTCCTGGAATGCCCCGCTCTCGGCTAGAAACCGCTCCGATATATCCGCCTCGCTGCGCTCGGTGGACGGAGCCGCCGAAAAAGGTTACTCAGCCATGCCGCCCGTTGAGGACTTGGTCGCCGCACACCTCTGCCCGCCCTCTGCTAGATGGCGCTCTTCCCCCACGCTTCCTTCGAAAGCTTGCAGAGCGACCTCGAGCTTTCATGCTCGCGCCTACGCCGCCGCCGGTCAGGCCGCCGCAGCGCTACATTCTATGTCTGTCCTCCAAGTATTACAGAGCGATATTCTCCGTGAGTGGGCCGAAAGCGGTAGAAACCCCTCCCCCGCTGTCACGGATCTGAGAAGTGCTACGGACCTCGCCCTTCGCGACACTAAAGCCGCCGCACAAGCTCTGGGGAGATGCATGGCCAGCCTTTGTGTAGCCGAGAGACACTTATGGCTCACGCTCGCCGACATGGGAGATTCTGAGCGCGCCGCGTTTCTTAACGCGCCCCTCTCCCCGACGGACCTTTTTGGATCTGCTGTCACGGGAATCGTCGATCGCTTTTCCGAGGTCCAGAAAGCTACTCAGGCGATGAATTTGTTTCTGCCCCGCCGCGCTAGCTCTTCCGCGGGCCGCTCTCGCGAGCCTCCTGCCAGAGCTCCACCACAGCGCCCCCCTCCGCAGACTCAAACAGCCCAGCGCAGACAGGGCGGCCGCCCTCACTCTCGCTCAGCCGCCGCAGACCGCCGCCCCCACGGGGCCCGCGACCTAAGATCACGCTGAAGCCTGATCATCAGAAGTCTGCCTAGCAAAGTTAAGAAAACGACGGTGCTCTCCCGCTGCGGCCGGACCGCCGTCAAAGCTTCGCCCTCTGCCAGTCCCCGTTGTTTCGCCGACTGCTGTAGTGTTGACCGCCACAAACAAGCCGGTGTCCCAGCCCGCTTGCGAGCGACAAAAAGCCGTTTTTACGGCTACCCAGAGAAATCTCAAAAAGAGAAAATTTGCCAGTTGTGTAGAAAATGTGCCCACAATCATGTGCTCACCCATACACACAAGCATAACATATCCCGTGTCTCTATCAGAGCCCCATCACATGAAACGGGCACAGCCCGCTCTAATATCAGTGAACATAAACACGCCCACGAGCTCGTGCGCGTGTCCCCTCTCTGCTCGCTCTGTTTCACGGCCCATAGACTCCTCTCTGAGTGCAAATCCCGTTGCCACACACATTCAAAGCGCGCCCACACACTGTGTCCAGCCCGCTATGTGCAGCAATCAGGGCGATATAGCCATTCGGCCACTAGCCGCATGCTCCAAAGCGTGGGAAGCCATTCCAGGCATTTCCCCGTGGGTACTAAGCATTATAAAGAACGGCTATCTGCTACAGTTTCGCCGCCGCCCGCCTCGTGCGCGTGCGCGGCTCGAATCTACTGTCAGCCCGCTGGCCGCCGGCACGCTCCGCTCAGAAATTGCGACGCTGTTGCAAAAGGGCGCCATAGAGAGA